GGGACGTATAAATGGTCTGGCCGCTTCGGCCGGGGCGGCCTGCAGGACTGTGGCGCCGCCGATTGCGGGTCTCTTGTATGAATGGGGCTCCAATATTGGGTTTACGGGGCTGGCGTGGTGGTTCGCTGGGTTTGTTGCCATCGTTGGCGTTTTTCAGTTATGGTTTGTTCCGAGAGAGAAGAACAACGGGGCGACGACAGTGGTCAAGTCGATCGTACCTTGTTTGGACAATTCTGCTGGGGAAAGGGTTTCGGATGTGGTTGATGTTACTGTATTGGATGACGAAAATGGCGACCACGACCACGACCACGACCACGACCACGACCACGAATATGCCTATGCCTGATCTTGGGTTCTTACTGTGAACAAGAAGAAAAGGATACCACTGGATTTGAGACAGTCGGCACATTGGCGTTTTGACGGGGGGCTGGCATCTTCTAGAATCGGGTCGGGCCCTGGAGCGGACGGTCACCTCTGGTCAAAATTGACAGGACCAGGGAGTTAATGTATTTACAAGGAAGGGATATGATTCTTTGGTTTTTGTCATGTCAATGGCGCGAAGCGGGAGTGATGGTATGGCGTTCGTTTTACGGGCACGGAATTCTAGCGGGATGGATTTCTACAACCATTCATCCATCTACCCGCCCACTCTTTTCTAGGCGTTATGTATTTGAGCGGGCGAGGTCTTGAGAAACACGACACGAAGGAGTTTCCGGCCCGGCGCTGGAGCAGGAGCAGGAGCAGGAGCAGGAGCACTCCACGTTGATTGACACGGACTTGTCTGCGAGTATTACTACCTCAAGTAGAGCAGTTGTTTGTTTGTTTTTCTAACGAAACGGTGAACGGCGTCGGATAGGGAGGAAGGCATGAAGGGAACGGGAATGGATAAAGAGAATTAGAAACCGACGGTATAAAAAAAACGAAAAGAAAAAAAGAGTTCTACATACAAACAGGAAAAGTCCATTGTGTAGGTAGGTACAAGGTGACTGACTGAGTGAGCGCCTATTACTTTTCACTGACTTAGCAGCTTACTATGGAAGCAGTTGAATATGAATTCGTCAGCCGGAACGGCTCGTTGGCTTCGGGTCATTCTATCCCCTCGCGCGCGCAATACACTAAGCACACCATTTGGACGGTCGTGATGGTATACCTCATATGGAAATCAGATCAGTGCCGTTCAAGTTCAGTTCAAACTCCTTGATTTTCCTCATTATGATTGATTCAACATATACTATGTACCCTGGTATGCACTGCCGTCTCGGTCAACTTTTGCTTGTTGTGAACCTTTCGGATTCCATGAATATGTGTCCCATACATAGAACCCTGGGCCCCATCAACAACCATTACCCGAGCCAGCCGCCACCACATTACTTTTGTCTTGGTCACTTTCACACATTATCGAGGCTATTTAAATTTTCCTTCTATGACGTGGCACCATGGGGCGCACGGCCGTTGTAGTTGACACCTGCCGAGGCCGTGTAGTTGGCAAAGCAGTCGTAGTTGAAGTCGATCTCGTTGAGGCGCTGCTGGAGCACCTTGACCATGTTGTCAAAGGGGCATAGACCGTTGGGGTCGACAGGGCAACCCGGGTGCGAGTCGGAGACGGGAACGACGGCGTCGTTGCTGTTTATCACCCTCAAAGTCAGATGCCCATGTTTTCGCCCAGAACAAAATGGTGGCAAAGGAAAATAATACTTACACGATGAACCGAATCTGTTTGGTGGGGGTCATGGCGGGGCACTCGAGCACTTGGGCAGTAAAGTGAGTGGCAAAGGGGACGATCTTGCTAGCAACAAAGTTGTTCTGCCCCTGGTTGCCGCTACCGCTCAAAGGAGGTCCCTTGAACAGCGCCGTAAGGTTGAAGGCAGTGAGGGTGTCGAGAACAACCACCTCGTGGGTCGCGTCGGCGTAGATAGATTGGTTCAAAGGGAAATCCGTCGGGTTGTTGTCGAATGTCTCGTTGAGAGCAGAGAGCGCGCCGGGATAGGTGTGGGTGAATCGAGCGACAAACTCGGCGAGGTAGCCCTTACCCTGAGCAGCAGCAACCGGAGAGCCGGGGCCGTTGTTGTAGTAGAACATCTGAGTAAAGGTTAGGCAACCACTGCGTCTACATCGGGCAGGGTGGAGCGAGCTTACCAAGTCATAGTAGTATTCGTAATTCTCAAAGTCCTCCAAGGTGAAAAGGGGGCAGAAGGCCGAATAGCCCAAGGCGTCAGTCTCGTACGAGCAGAGCTGAAGCATGGCGATGGCATCGGTGGGTGTCAGGGTCAGATTGCCTGAGACCTACAGCCCCGACCATTAATACCATGTATGCTCGCAAAAGAGTGGGGAGCAACATTACCTGAGAGTTCAGACGGGCTAGAGTGGCATTGAAAGCGTTGTTGGCGAATTTGGTTGCGACGGTACTGCCGATGCTTCCTCGACTGGCAATGTTGGAGTTGTTGCAGATCTCATAGGGGGCTCCCGAGTTGTTGACCCCTGGGGTTTCGACTAGGATTTCAATGTTGACCTGGTCTACATACTCGGGCACTCCAAAGAAACCAGCGGCAAAGTTCTCGGCGGTCTTGACCATGCGGTCCTGAGACTCGGTGCGGAAGACAGGGAGAGCTCCTTGAGCGGTGAAGTTGTTGAGCAATTCACCATACAACTGTCGGTATGACACTCCGAGGAGAAAGTTTTGGCTTCGTCCAAAAGGAGTCAAGAGTTCAGCACCCAGCTTGTAGCTCCAGTCGGCCAGGAAAGCCAGCTCGCCGGAGACCTGGAACCCGGCTCCCTTGGTAGCATTGGCAAGTTTAGAAGCGAATGTCGCAGGGGCAGCACCGCCAGTAGGGTACCGAGCACCATGGCGATACAGGAGGTGGACTTGGTTGATGGAGCAGCCATCCGGGATGAGTGGGCTGGCTTTGGGCAAGCCGTAGTCGGCAGACGACAGTGAATACCAGGGCGACAGGTTACCCCAGAAGCGAGTGATGTCGACTTTGGAGCTCGAGTTGGATCCCTGAGGTTGAGCAGCAACCAGAGGAAAGGCGGCAGCCCCTTGAGTGTTGTACGGGTACAAAGGAGCGGTCTGGGCAGCAGCTGGCTCGAGACCTGTCACTGTTGGGCCGGGGAATTGCACCACTGACTCAGGCGGGAACTGAGAGGGGTCGACCGATGCTAGATAGGCGTCAGTTTCGACCTCCACTTACGACGCAATGATGAAGAGGGCTAGATGGACATACTGGATGCTGGAGGGTAGACGTCAGACGTGGTAGCACCAACACCTGACGAGGCAACGACAGGTTGAGGGGCTGCCTCAATGGCCTTTGCCAGTACCGCCAACACAAGCGGAGTGACCTTCATCTTCTGACTGGTCAAGTAGCCTTGTCACGCTCGAAACAGGCAACTCAAGTCAGCAAGTCCGAGTCTCTTTCTTCTCGTCGGAATCCAGGGAAGAAGATGGCCTTGGAGACACATATTTTCTGCATGTCCAAGTGGCTTCTTTATGTACTGCAAGACAAGCTCTGGCAAGCTCTGGCAAGCCCTGTCAAGCTCGACCTGGAAGGCAACACCAAGACGGCAAGCTTCCATCAAGCTCAGCAGTCAAATATAGCGCCATCCAACTACATTCAAGTATGTGAACATGTGCCTTTCTGCCCCGACATGCAAGTTGCCCAAAGTTCCCGCAAATCGTAACGCTCCAAGCGGTGATGCCGGTGGCTGGATCGATCCCAGTACGCGAGCCAGCACGTGGGTGGGGGGAGCCCATGTTCGCCGCCCTCGGCCATGTACAGACTCGGTATAGCCAGTAGGAGAAGGATTGCGAAGGTAACCTTGAGTCAGGAGCTGCACGGTTATGGCATCAATATTGTACCGAGCATGAGATTAGTCTGTTGTGAGATGTGATGCGTGCAGGGGATCGAGGACCTTGTTTGCGAGAAGATGCGTGATGGATGGGTGGACAAGCTCGATCTGGGAATAGCCGTCTGAGGATCCCGCAGTGCGGTCCAGGTGGTGCCAGGCACACGAAGCGCAGGTTCAGGTACGGAGGATGGGAGGGTCATAAGGTGATCCTCTTTTTTCATGCCCGAACCATTCAGGTTGCTTTGTTGAGGATCGTGGGATGAAGATGAGAGGCTGGTTCGATGCCGAGCAGATTTCGAGATAACAGGAGATCATATTCAATGCGTCCATCGCATGGCGTGGTGAATAACACTGGGCTCGTGCAGGTGGCTTTCCGTGGCGAAACGGCTGAGGCGCGATTAGACAGTTTCTGCCTGACCGCATAATCAGCGCCTAAACAAGCTCAAACGCTACAAAGAGCTTTTGTCAGACACAACAACTTTTACTATTCGTCTCCTCGCCTGCGATATCCAATTTTAGCCTCTTGGACGCGCCCTGCTGCGTGGCCATCTATCCAAGTTTCAAGTTTTTGTTTCCCACTCCAGCTTCAGTAACGCCCAACCAACCATCACGACTTGTCATGCTAGCGAACCGCTCGCTTCAAGGCTGTCGATCTGCTCAACAAGCGATGCGTGGTTCGCTGTCAATCGAGTCTCTCACTGGTATACATTCTGCGACAATGCGTCACCCTGCAGTTTTACCATGGTACCTCGCGCACCTCTGCTACTACCGGTCGACCTGTTTTCCTTGATATCGCATCGCCGAGTAACTTGATACAAGGACGTCTTATTAGACAAGTATCCGTCGCAATGGAGAATCTTGTTCCTAAATGCTGTTTCTCCCTGTTGCTTTTGATTTTGATTCCTTTTCCCTACCATTTGGTTTGTGAAGTTGCCTGTCTACTTAGCCCAGGATCATAGCTCTTTACTCAAGAAAGTCCTTTCGCCCTTGACTACCTGCAATACTCTCTACCTCGTACCCAATCAACCATGTTCGAGTCCAGAAGGAAAGATGGGGAGCATCCTGCTCGACCATCACTCTCGACTATTCAGTCTGAGGAGGAGGAAGGACATCACGATACAGCATCAATGGCGCGAACAGAAACTAACCCACTCAAAATGAGAGGATCGACTTCCCTTGGGCGCAAAAACTCAAGCAAGCCCAGTGTATTGGCCCGCGCCGAAACGCTGTCTTCCAAACCAACCCTGACCCGTGTACCTTCTATCCAGACACGATACATGGAGATGCTGTTACACCTAGATCAAATTCCTCGGCTATACAATATCCTGGCCAGCCTGTTCACCTGGATTTTGCTCGCGGGCTTTCTCGTCGTCCCCGGTACCTTTACAACTTTCAAGAATTCCAAGGCGTTCCAAGATGCCGACAACGATGATGACGCTAACGAGGTTGCTCACGCAATTGTGCACTCGATTGCGCATATTGGTCTGCTGTGGCTATCTGGCGCGTTCTGTGTCGTTGGGACTCTGGGATGCCTCTGGCTGTGGCTTCGTTGGCGCAAGAACTATGTCTGGCTGATAAACCGCATCTTTCTGTGAGATCTTCACTCGCGTTCACAGGGACATACTGACGGGTTGATGATAGACCAGTCACGCTGAACTCCGTCGCCGGCTTGATCACAACTCTCGTCAACGTCTATACTGCCCAGCATGGTGTATGGAGTGTGACGGCGAAAATCACTGCTATCGTGACAGGATCCTGCGTTGGGGTGGCAGGGATTCTTTTCGGGTGCTATAACTTTTGGGTATTGCGCAGGATACAAAAGGCACACGCAAGAGAAACGGGCCTCAATACTCAGCACGAGGATGAGACGCTGGTGGAGAAGGTGAAAAGGAAGGCCCATGAGCCTCCGTTGCAGTCAGGCAGTGTGGTTTGATATTGAAATGTTTCTCTGGGTTCAACGACGTCTTTCCACTTGTACCCTTCCACTAATGCCCTTTGCGACTGCCTCCAAATGTACACAAATTTCATGTTTTTGCACTTGCCATGAATGACAAGGGCTGAACAGTCCCTCTACCCTTTTGTTATTATTCTCACTTCGCATTTGACTGACTTACCATTCCTCATTTCCTCAATTACCTTTTCCCAGCTCATACGCCTTCCTAAGACCTATTACATAGAATATTCTTCTTATTATTGCGCACACCGTACCTATGGCTACTCAACTTTCCTCTTCGACGAGGTCAACATACCGAAGAACTGCACGTCGAGATCGTCGAATCAGACACCGGGCACGCTTTCCTAAGCCGAATCCGCCACAGTTGAAGACATCCCGTCGACGGGGTCCAAAAAGAAGAAAGCTGCGTGAACAGGACTCCTTGGATCTTGACAACTGCTACTATGCTTGTGAGGACCGAGGATACCACCTCGATCCTGATGTTCGTGTCGGCCTTGAAATTAACCATGATGGTATGATTGATATATTCGCGATCCTGACGCTGTGCTGATTCTTATTTCTAGAAACCCCATACTGGTTTTCCGACGACAGCATCACCGATCGAAGCATAGCCGCAGAAGAACCATGCCCATTACTCGACTACTCTGCCGTTGGCGCATTAGCAAGACCTTCACCTACGATATCTTCCGAGACAGGAGGCGGAAAAGTCATCTTCAAGAGAAAGGGAACGCGAAGCCTCTCTGAAGCAGACCTCAATGAAAATCCCTCGCCTCCACTACCTCCCATTCTCATGACCACAAAGGCACGCACAAGCATCCAGCTCCCCAGTTGCCATTTGGAGCCTTCAAGGAATCGATGTCCGCCAGAATACCACTCAGACTACCTCAATGATGTCAGGATTCCAAGTCCATTGCTATACCACAGCTCACAATTCGAATACACTACACCCTCTGACAATCCTTGGTTGACCTGGAACGTCTCGTCCTTCGAGTTCGCCCATGGCCAGCAAAAGCCAGAACCTGACTTTACCAGTTACCGGCCCGTCGTGTGTGGTGCTGCTCTGGACGAGCGGACACATATGCAACGTAATGAAAGCTTGGGGTATGCTGTTTGCACGGCTGCATCCTCCCGGCACAAAGCAGAAGCAAGTCACGTCTCGGACGGCAGCCATGATTCTTCGACTCATGGCGATGTTCTTTCGTCAGGCGATGACCTTGACTCCCAAGAATTGACGCGGACCAACCAAGGATATTCACTCATCGCGGACGTCGAGAGAAATGGTCCCGTTACTCCCATGGGCCTTGACTTTCCATGGTGTCATGATTTTTTCATGCCAAAGGTCTCGTATAGCCAAGAAATAGGTGTGCCACCCGATGCCGCACCATCTGAGGACAATTTAATCTTTCCCACACTGCCAACTCCGATCAACCTTGACCACGCGTTGATTGCTTGTTGCAGCGTCAACAACATTGTTCACCCAAGCGGAAATCAAGCTGCCAGAAGTTGGGAGCGAGCAGGCAGAGGGTTGCCATCATTTCGAGATCCAGTTGACACCACTCCGTCCCCGTCCATTTCGGACGCGGTAGAGGCAGCTGTCCATGGAGCTTGCAGTGCCAGCGAACCGCAGACCACTCGAGGATCCTTAGATAGTAGAGATGGTACGATCACCTCGGACGGGCCCTATCCTGGCGCTGCAATCAAGGTTGTCATTCCACCATGCATGGACCTGGTTCCGGCACGACTGTACCAGCACCAACTCATTGCGTGGCCACTGTCAACTGCAGCTGTTGAGGCGAGAAACAGACGCGACAGTGACGTATCGGCTGTTCTCAGAATGGCAGACTGGTTGGCAGGATTGAATACGCTAGGACCCTATGTGGGTGGCCAGTTGGGTCTACCTCTTCCCAAGCCACCAGGCAATGACGCCGGTCTCAATTCTAGGAGAAATATGTCGACTTCTAACGATACTCTGAGTTCAGTACTTTCTGCCCGGGCTCAGTGCCACGGAGGGTTTGCAGAGGATGAAGCTGATTCGGGCTCACCCGATGAAGGGTACTTCACCTGTAGTGAACGCTATTCGGAGACCGACTTGCTGGAAGACACACCCACCGATGAGGAATGGGTCGATTGGGAATGGGATTTTGAGTCGGATGATGTGGATGAGAGGATTGGACTATTTGCCACTGAATGGGAGGGAGCGAGTAAGGCAGATGCGGTGTAACCTGTCGGTTACGACTGAGCAATGTGATACCTGCGGATTGTGAAGTATTACGGATACGTATAGGCATGAAAGCTAAGGACAAGATGACGAGGTGACGATTAGATTGCATGTTCTGGAGCTGGTGGTGGTCGTAGACCTGTAGTATGTAGTCAGCAATTCTTGAAAGAGCAGACAACACGCCCTCATCGGAATGAAGACTTATGTCAACACCTAGTTGTTATCGGAGGAGATTCGTTCCTTTCGAATTGACATGCCTCGCGATTGTGCAAAGACAGAGGAGTGTACGGACTCGGTCTGTGCTAGGTTTCCAGGAGAGGAATGCAGGATTCTTCTCCCGCTAGGTGGACAGGGTCTGATTGATCTAAGTCGCCATCGCCACACTTGCAAGTAGGATGTACATTCTACATACCTTAGCTATCTACCTCCATACGATAGGCACGTACATAGGTAGTATTAAAGGCGACCCGACCCCACCCTTTTTATCTCCATCCTCGCCCTCGCCCTTCTTCCTACTTGTTCCTCGCCACTTCACGCCGCCCCCCCCCCCCCCCCCCCTTCCCAACGACATGTCTGTTTTTATTCGTTGCTGCGAAACAACAACCCCAGATAGATGGCGGCGTACATGGCCCACTCGGCCAGTATGCCCATGTCGGCTTTCATGCGCGAGGTGCGCTGGGCGCGGGCGTGGACGGCGTGCACGCGCGGCATGCGGCTGGTTTCGAAGGCGCGCAGGGCGGTGGTGAGAGATGGGCCGGTAGTATCAGTATCGGTATCAGTGCCAGGTTTAGGGTTGGGCCTTGTGTCAGTGTGACTGGATGGATTCGGATTAGAATTCGGATTTGGATTTGGAGCTGCTGTCGCTGTCATTGTTGCGGCCAGATAATGCTCCCGCAATGACAGCGCCAGCGCCTCGGCGTCCTCGAGCGCCTGGCTCGCCCCTTGCCCGCTCGACGGCTGCAGCGCGTGCGCGGCGTCGCCGACCAGCACGGCCCGGCCGCGCAGAGACCAGTACGGCAGCTCGGGCGTCGTCCATGTCGGATATGCTGCGTCCAGAGCCTTTCCGGTCAGGAACCCATTGTGATTGTGGTTGTGGTTGTTTTGGATTTGGTGCTTTGCATCCCGATCTTGAATGTGACCCTGATCTTGACCTGGTTGTTGTTGTTGAAGCTGCTGTTCCGTGTCGTGTTGCACAAACGACAAAATCGCCTGGATGGCCGGGTTGTGCCAGGTCCTGTGTCGGTCGAGGAGCGCGGTCAGCGCGAGTTGCTTGTTGAAGTCGGTGGCTTTGCGGGTCGTCCTTGGCTCGATATCCTTGTCGGTGTCTGCGCTCGTGCCCGTGCTTGTGCTCGTATATGTGTCCGGAACATTTCCTGCAGACGATGTTGGGATTCTGGACGAAGGAGTCGAGTAAGGAAATGGGTCTGGGCTGGAACATGTGGACCACCACCCTGCCAGTGGTCCTGGGGCAGGGATTGGCAAGTTGAGATCTATCGCTAGAGGAGGGGTCTCTGTATCTGTCCCTTCGTTTGACAACGAGGTCGGTGATGGCGACAATGATGCGGATGAGGAGGTCAAATAACCGTACCCAAAGAACCCATTCGGCCCAAACACGACGGTCATGCTGCCGGGCTTGTGGCCGGTGGCTTGCAGCACAGATGAGGGCACGAAGCCCCCAACGCCGACGAGACCCTCATAGTGCGGTGAAATGTAGTCGGTATCGGTGTCTTTTTGGTTTGCATGGCCTCCAAAGGTGAAGAACGGGACGCGGATGTAAGAGAGAATCGTTCGCAGCCAACCTGCTCTGGTCTGGCTGTTCGGCTCCCGCTCACGAGCATTCAACGCTCCATCTGTTGCCGTCGTGTGGACACCCTCACCCCTGCCCTCATCCTCGCCCTTGCGAAACATTGCCCGTCGCACAACACTTCTGAGCCCGTCAGCTCCAATGACCAGGTCGGCTTCTTCCTCGGAGCCGTCCTCGAACTTGACGATGTTGCGTGCTTGTTCATGGCCGATGATCACGTCGACGACTTTCTTGCGGATGATCACGTCGGAAGCTACCCTCAAGACGCGGTCGCGGAGGATTTCCCAGCACGATTGCCGTGCGATCATGATTCCGTGGTAGGGACACGAATTTCGACCTGCAGTGCCCGCAGCTCTTGACTGCTTGTGGTCATCGAGAGACGATCGCGCGGCGGTATTTCCTGGCCGTGCAAGCTCGACCACACCGAGTCTGAAGCCTCTTGCCGTGCTGAGTTCCCACTGCTCAATCGGATGCCCTTGTACGGCCATTTCCTCAATCAAGCTGCAGGAGGGCTGATCCTGAATGTTCGCCTGCTGGCCCTCTGTTTCGTCCAGGCGAGCAAGAACGTCTAGCCCGTTACGCGCGATGCCGATTGCGGCCCCGATCGCTTGCGGAGTGAAGATTGGATCTACCCCGTTTGCTGAGAGTGCATTCGTGGTGGACTCGTCGTCCGAGTTGTAGCTTGCGGCAGCATTCGCCAAAGAGACATTGAAGTGGGACTGGTGAATGTCGTGAGCTTCGTAGATCTTGATCTCATATTCTTGTCGTTCTTCTGCTCGGGCAGCAGGACTGGGATTGTAGAGCACCAGGTGTTTGCGCAGAAACAGGTATGTACTCAGGCCTGAGATGCCAGCGCCGATGATGATGATCTTAGCCATGGTGGGAGAAGAGACTCATGCGAGTAGAAAAGCCATAAAGAATGAAGGAAACCTGACAAGTCCATCAATGGCGAGGCAAGGTGATCAAGAGAACAAGGAGCCCATTATATAGACATCTTGATCCTGCTGCGGTATGCGTTGTGGGACAGGGATGTTGGTAGCGGCCGGTGCTCGCGTCACCAGGGAAGTCATAGTTCGTTTGCTATATCTCACCCTATATAGTGCATGGTGCCCAGATGTGGTAATTAAACCTCTAGCAGCCAGCCGTGGGCAGGTATTGCGGAGAAGAGCCCAATGGAAAATGTTGGTGCCTGCGCTTGATGTGAGGCGCACGCTGTGATTGGTGAGTGACTGAGGGACGACCGAAGCAATACGTCGGATTCGGAGAATTTATGACAACTAGAGAGAGAGCAAGGGAATAACCACCTTCTTTGGTCACCCACATTCAAACCTAACCTCAGGCAAGTGCTCGTTGTGATAGACGACACGTAGTCAGCATGTGTCCATCAGCGGTGGCCTTCTGGTGGAGGTATGCCGTCTTCCGGCCCTGTTCCTGGTATCCGTTTTGACAGTTGCTTATCCGCTGGACCATCATCGCTGCTGTCTTTGCGAAGTCCAAGTTTCCCCAAAGCGCTGGAGAATCTTCCCGTCAGGCTACGCTTGGCCTTGCGACGTTCGCGCGCTTCCCGTTCCTGAGCCTCGCGTTGCCGCTCCAGGTACAGCCTCTCCTTCTCCGCGCTCTGAGACTTGTCCCGCTTCGCCTCTTCTTCCATCTTGACTTTCTCTGGATTGAGCAACCTATCCTTCTCATGCACGACGCTCTCGTTGACTGCCTTGATGCGTTTGCGAGTTTTGGTGTAACTCTCCAGACCGACCAAGACTGCATAGCTGCGGGAGATGGATACATGCGACATGTCGACACCTTCATCTCGAAGGCTGTGCACAAAGGCTCGAAAATTCGCCGCCGGTGGCCGATAATGCCCGCTCAAGGGCGACAGCCGTCTCAATTGCCCATGTTTGACTTTGATCAATCCTGCCGCCAGGATACGTGCACCGTGTAAGAATGATGAATGCTGGAACGCCCCTGACTGCTTGTACCCAATGTACAGTCGAAACGAAGTATCGCAGACGAATATCCACTTATGTCCTTTCTTCAGGCTTGTTCTGACCATGTGGTTGAACAACACTGCCGCACTGACATGCTTGACCTTGGACAACCCTCTGGCTCGATGGAACTGGTCTCTGATCAGCAACGGTTAGGAGTCAAAATGATTGAAGGAGACACATACTTCCTCGTTGACGTATCTTTCCCCTTCATCACCCGCCGTATTTTCGTCTTCATCCTCTGATTCATCCGAAGAGCTGCTCTCGGAGTCACTCGTACCTGGCGGTGGCACGTTATACCTCCATTTCGGCGCCGAGTCATCTATGGGGACGATCCCATTGACGCTGTCTTTGAAAAGTTCATCCTTGGTCCAAACAAGTTCACCATTCTTGGCCCAGACAAGCAACCCTTTTTCATTGACCTTGACGAGATAATTCAGACGTTCTTCGCGTGACAGATATCGCACTTGCTCCTTGTCAAGCCGTGCCCGCCTACACTCTGGGAGGTCCACGTTCTTGCCATCGCCTTGGTCGAGCCAGTAAAAGAAGGTTTGATCGGTGTCCTGTGTCTTCCAATATGCATGATATCTGAGAACGCAGTGTGAGCTTGTGGTAAAGTCATCCAACAGTCCGAGTATAAGAGGCACTCACTTTCGCAGATTACTCCCATAACGATGTTTTTGGTCGACCATCTCAAGGAAATATTGCAAATCCATCATCTTGGCAGTCTTCTTCCTCATGGCATTGGCCTCGGCTCGTTTCCTTCTGGCCGCTTCCCTCTCTTCTTGGGTCATATCGGCGAGTGAGCCCACGGTGCTTTGAGTATCTACATCGGAGGAGAAGTCAGAGACGGAGGGGGAACGATCGTCGGCGCCAGCCCTGCGGGCAACCTCTGCGGCTCGACTCCATTTTAACCTCGCAGGAGATGTGGTGCCCTGGGCCGTGTCTGTGTCATGGAGAGAAGAGGACGGCGGTTGCGGGGACGTGTGTGCTTTGAATTGGGCGTCTCGCACCGCCTGTCAAGTTTGTCTCGGTCAGGGCTGCAGCACGACAAACGGGTCGTGACTAACCTCATACCACCGCGTAGAGGCATCCAAGCCAAACCCATTAAGTTGGCGACGCGCACGGTGACCTCTGTAGGTTTTCTGGGGCGCGGGTCAACCATTGGCAGTTCGAGAGGGGAGATGGCGAGAGAGTCCCGACCTGAATTAGGACTG